AGGGTGTAGGCAGCGGAGGACCTCTACTCTCCCTGCTGGTCCCCGGCAAGGAGTCATGGGACCGCCTCACCGCTTCCCCCATCTGCCCCCCTTCTCCACTGGTGCTACGCTGATTCTCTTCCCCAGAAGATGGGCTGCCTCTCCCAATCCCGGGACGCTCTCCAGAATCCCTCTGGATTTTGCTCTCTCCCTCCGGCACTGATGGCAGTTCCCTGACACAAATGATATTCTTAGGCCTCTTACAGTGGAGGGAGGATATAGCCATCATGACTAGCAGTCACTGATAGCTTTATCCTTTATTAATGTGTTTAACCCCCTTTTAAAGCCATCCAAGCTGGTGGCCAGCACTACTATGGATAGGCAAATCACATTTTTGCAAAGCATTATTCATAATATGATGCATTTTTATGTCATTTTCACTAATATGTACATTTATAGGCAGACTTTAATCCAGTATATGCATTTTTGTACATATGATTTTACTGGAAAATTCAGAAAAGTGTGAGGGGGGAAGCTTTACAATATCCATTTTGAGATAAGGTGACCAGAACTATATACAATATTCCAAGGGTGGCCTTGCCATAAATTTGTAGAATGGAGGCACTACCCCAGGCTGAAGGTCTTTGTGCACTTCAAGAAATGTTATCAGAGAACTCTTTTTCCTTGACTGGGCAGAGAAGGCGCACTAGAAGTGGGAACAGGAGCTGTTCTCCTACTCCACTTGCATGCCAGAAAAGGGGAACAGGATGAGTTCACTAAATTCACTAAATAAACTTGTTTGCGTGGCTAGACCCCTCCCCCATGTGAAATGAAGACACTGGACACATTATTTAAGGTTAATGGGCATAAACAGGCCACAACTTTATTGATTACAGGTTTGAAAGGTATTGGCCTTAGGCATTGGCTCCTATCAAGTACCCGGCACGCGGACCGGGGAGGGTTAACCACGAACCGTGGGGGTCCTGTTGAAGTACGCCAACTAGGATCCCACAGGTGTCACCGCTCGGGGGCGTGCCGGAGGCCCTCACCTCCCTAGGTTTCGGACAAGGCAACGCCCCCCGGAGTCCTCTACCGGACTACCCTCTCCTTGGGGGAAGGTGATGGCGCTACCTTCCCCCCCGTTCATTTGCATAACAATAAGCCCCTGCCAATGCCTAACCGCCAAAATACCGCTGAAGTTGTGACGATTGCTACGAGGTAGGCGAAAAAACCAAAAGGCTGACAGTGCGCCAACTTGGAAAAATTCCTACCAGGCCCCTTGCGGCGACCAACTGTAGTCCATAGCAAGGCCATAGCAAGCTAAACCTAAGGGTGGGTGGGATGGGAAAAACCGCTCAGCTGGCGAGGGGAAAAGAGGGCAGTCCCCGGGCGTGCCTGGCCTTAAATAGGCTAGGCCACGCCTCCCCGGCCCGCCGATTGGCGGGTCGGGTCGCAGGCACGCCCAGGGATTCCCTGATCTCGCGGGGGTGAAATCTGACCCCCGCGTGTGTGGGAGGGGTTGCCCGCAACCCCCTCTCCTCACAAGATCGGAAATGGCTTTGCGTGGCTAGACCCCTCCCCCATGTGAAATGAAGACACTGGACACATTATTTAAGGTTAATGGGCATAAACAGACCACAACTTTATTGATTACAGGTTTGAAAGGTATTGGCCTTAGGCATTGGCTCCTATCAAGTACCCGGCACGCGGACCGGGGAGGGTTAACCACGAACCGTGGGGGTCCTGTTGAAGTACGCCAACTAGGATCCCACGGGTGTCACCGCTCGGGGGTGTGCCGGAGGCCCTCACCTCCCTAGGTTTCGGACAAGGCAACGCCCCCCGGAGTCCTCTACCGGACTACCCTCTCCTTGGGGGAAGGTGATGGCGCTACCTTCCCCCCCGTTCATTTGCAACCAATTCCTAATCCCTGCTATGATGTCCCCCAACCAAATATCGTTTCCAGCATCGGACAGATGCACGCCATCCCATCTGTAGAGGGCCTCGTTGCTGTACTGGATGCCTGGGTGTCCTATGATGCACCCGCCCAGAGCCGCCACTCTACGTTCCACAGCCCGCTCCAAGACCTTTCTTGCCTTATTGATTCCAACCGGGCTCACACAATCCCTCCATGTCCTCCTCTCAAGCAACGAGGACCACAAGATAGTAATGTTTGGGTAAATCGCCTTCAGATCAGCGAAATCATCAAAGATGTTCCATCTCAGGTCAATAGCTTTGCGGTACGCTAGATCGTTCTCTCCCAACTGGATAACCAGTGCATCCGGTGGACCCTCTAAGGCTGCTCTCGCCATCACAGCTGGTTTGAATTCACCCCAGCGCATGCCCCTACGCGCTATCCACACCAGCTCCACGTTTACAGGCAAGCTCAGGTTCAGCCCCAACCCGGTAGCCATGGCACGATTCTTGGCCCAGTGCATGATGCTGTGGCCCACCAACCAAATGTGTATCCGCTTGTCTCCTGAAAGGTAAGTAGACAGAAAAACGAAGGTCAGGAGAAAAATTGCTAGTCAAAGGTTTTTTCTCAAATAGGATTTGTATGCGTTAGACTTCCAACGCCCTAAGTCCTTTATCCTCTCCGCCGAAAGGCCAAGGTGCACTGCGGTGGTCGCTGCCCCAATCCGGAAAGAGTGAGCAGCAAACTCGGCCGCGGGCAGCCCGCATGCTGCCAACGCCAAGCGCATCACCCGCGTAAACTGATGCCTGGCCAAGAGCGATCCGTTTGCATGAATGAACAAGGGGCCGGGGCTATTGGGTCTTAAGTAGAGAAAACGCCTCATATCCCTAACCGGACAGGGACCACTAGCTTGTGCGGCTGGTAACCGCAGGAGGGTCCCCCTACCCTGTTGGTCCGTTTTTGAGCTCCGTACTCGAATTATTAGGTCAGTCTCTGATAGGGTCAGATCACTCAAGAGGATGCCCCTCTGGCAGTGGGGAACCCCTCCCTCACAGACTACTTCACCTATGCACAGGGCACCAAAGAAGGCTATGGAATAGGCGGCGGAGAAAAGGCGAGCTTCATACTTTGACCAACAAATTTCTCGTAATTTTTTGTGTATCTGGAACAGAATATCATAAGTTATGGGCCTCCTCTTGTCGGGGCTGGGGGGCTGTTGCCGACGCCAGCCCTCCAAGGTCTTACGCACGATAAACTGCGCGCACGGGTCGGTGGCAAAAAAGGCTTTACAAAAATAAGAAATCCCAGCCGACTGAATATTGAGGGTCTTAGGTGCCCTGCCCAGCTCCTTCAGATGGGTTAAGTAGTGAAGGACTTCCCTTGTAGAGGGAATTGAATTGTGCCTTGAGCAGGGCGTTCTGCTGCGGAACTTTAAAAAGTCAACCCAGGCCTTCCTGTATGATCTCATTGTGGAAGGGGCAACTGCACCGAATACTCCCTTCATGACTTCCTGTTCCCAAGGCTCCAAAGATGCTCCGGGAAAGACATTGATGATTGCTCCGCCTCCGGCGCTAATGAGCGGAAGCGCTCCATCTGAAAACGAGACAGAGCATCCGCGATGTCATTATTAATGCCAGGTACGAATTTGGCCGAAAAATATATATTCTGTTCCAAGCAAAGGAGGACGAAGGACCTTAACAAGTTTCCTACCCTGGTAGAACGCGCTGACTGTCTAGACAGAACCGCTACGACTGCCTGGTTGTCTGTGTTAAAACAAACTCTGTGATTGCGGAACTGTTCCGCCCAAAGGTGCACGGCTACCACGATAGGGAAAAATTCCAAGAATGTAAGGTCCCGAGTAATGGGCTGTCCCTGCCAATCTGCAGGCCATTTTTGGGCACACCACTGGCCCCTGAAATAAACTCCAAAACCCAATGAACCTGCAGCGTCTGACTGGACTTGGAAATCAGTATCGAGTGCCATGGAATCCTGCCACAAGGATATACCGTTGTATTTGTCGAGGAATTGTAGCCAAATACCCAGATCCGCCTTGACTTCTTTGGAGAGGCGCACCCTATGCTGTGGTGCCCTGAGACCTGCCGATAATCTGGCCAGACGGCCGCAAAAGGGGCGTCCTGGCGACACTACTCTACAGGCGAAATTTAGGTGTCCTAGCAGGGATTGAATTTGTCTCAGGGTAACTTTTCTCAGTGGTAATAACTGTTGTATCAGTGTTTTCAGGGCGTCCAGTTTATTTTTGGGCAACCTAGAGGTCTGGGCGACTGTGTCTAACTCAATGCCCAGATAGACCATGGAGGTGGCAGGACCCTCCGTCTTTTCGGCGGCTAACGGTACCCCTAGCTCCCCAGCCAGGGCTGTGAAAGCCTCTAGGAGGGCAGAGCATCGCTGTCTGTTATCTGCCACTAAAATAAAATCATCCAGGTAATGAGACACGCCCAACGACCCAGTCCTGAAGCGTAATGCCCAATCAAGAAACGTACTGAACGACTCAAAGGCCAAGCAGGCAATGGAGCAACCCATAGGCATAGCCTTGTCAATGAAATACGCCCCCTCAAATCTGAAGCCCAACCAACGGAAGTCAGCTGGGTGAACTGGAAGGAGGCGGAAGGCCGACTCAATATCACATTTGGCTAGAAGCGCCCCCCTCCCGAAACTGCGAATCATTTTTACTGCTTGGTCAAAGGAGGCGTATTTCACCGTGCAAAGCTCCTGGGGAATCGCGTCATTGACCGAGCCTCCCCTTGGGTAAGAGAGGTTGTGGATCATGCGGAACTCTCCCGGGGTCTTTTTTGGTACGATGCCCAGGGGGGACAGGTGAAGACCTACCAAGGGGGGGTTAGGGAATGGGCCAGCCACCCGCCCTGCTCTAATTTCTTTCTCAATCTTCTTCCTGACTATCTCAGGCCTTTCCCTAACTGATTTTTGATTTTTTGGATCCCTGGTATTGGGGGGGAAAGCCACTGGGATTCTGAACCCCTTAGCAAACCCCTCCCACAAGTATTGCGCGGCTTTGCGATCAGGATATTGGTCTAGGAGGGTTTTAAGAGGCTGCAAACGGACGGGGGAGAAGGCCATACCCAGATGTAAGTTACTGGCGGTTACCATTACCAGGTCCCCGGTGGGAGGATCCGGGGGCACCTCTATTGCTGTTGTGGAAGTACCCCCTGCCCCCACGAAAGGGCTGCTGCTTACTCTTAAAGCACGCGGAGGCGGGGTGATTTCCCCAGCACCGGTCGCATTCATGCAGATACTTACAGGTGGGTCTCGAACATGCACCCCTGTTGAACTCCCAGCAGAGGCGACGCCGCTTCACCTCAGTCTTACCCGCCTTGGCCGATGCTAGATTTTTCTTTTCAATGTAGGGATTGACATCCTCGCCCCAGTAGTTAGGGTCCGTTAGGTCCCATCGTGTGGAAGGTAGGAGAGAAGCATTTCTACGGAAGTTCTCATCATATGTTAATGCGGCTTGCTCCCCTGCGAGCGCGTGGGCCCGCCTAACATGAGCCAGATAAGCAACCAAATCCATGGAGCGCCGAGGATAGGCAGCGCAAACAACAGCCATGAAGACCTGGTACCCATCTAACCAATTCTCAAAGGTGCGCTCAGCCCTTGGGGTCCTGTATCTTCCTTTACCAGAAGATCGCCTCCTTTCACCTTTTCCCATTAGTTTAGTAGGGGGGAGTAAGGTAAACATGTCCACATAGTCCCCGTTGAGGATTTTATTCCTCTTCTTCTGGGACAAATGGTTCCCTAATATAAAATCAGTGGACTGATGAGTGGCCACCTTTACGTCCTCTACCAACACCCCATCTTTCCAATCCAGCACTCCATTGAACGTCTTACGATGTGAATTGGCTCTCCTTTCATGCGCCCAAAGTGGGATCCCGTGATTCCCTTCACCCAAGTCCCAGTAACCATCCATGGGGCCCTCACTATCAGAATCCGAAGAAGACGTACCTGACTCATCATCCGTCTCGGACTGCTTACTTCTTTTCTTCTTTGACGAAGTGTGCTTCTTCTTAGATTTCTGTTTTCCACCCTGCACCTCTGCGGTGGCCGAATTCGCACTGGTCACTGGCTGAGTAGTTTGAGCCTCCCTGTGCTCCTCTTCCAAGCCGGAACCCGCACTGTCCTCGGTAGAGCTGTGCTGGGGCTGCTGCTCCTGAAACACACTAGGGATGTCTACCACCTGTGAAAAGGAGTTGCTACCAGCCCCTTTGGAAATAGCCTTTCCTTTGCCGGAGGCTTTTGCCGGTGCCTTACCCTTTCCTGTGTTTTGGCTGGCCCTTCTCGTAATGGCTGCCTGGGCACGGGTATTAGGACGACCTGCATTTGCATTTTCCGACTGGGTGCTGCCCCCTGCCGCGGCTGGTATTACCTGCTGGCCTTGACAGTTGGGAGGAGTGTCTGGTATTACGTCCTGTGATGGTTCTGGGGCAGTGGTCCCCAAGGCCCCAGGCCTACATTGCCTATAAAACGTTTCAAACGCCCGGAAAAATTGAGCGAAAGCTTGTGGGTCACAGGGCATGGCCCCCATTTGTGCACTGCCATTACTTGTGCTGGGTGCCGGTTGATTGCCGGAAGTGGATGTCTGCTGGTCCCCACCGGAAGCCATGACAACTGCACACGAGAACCGTGCGTCACAAAGGTACTCCCCAACCGCAAAGGGGGTCTTTCAAGTTCAGTATTGTCTACACACCTATGGCAGAACGTTAAAACCCACAGAGCGAATTTAAACTTTTATTTATTTCAACTTAACTACTTATTCCTAGGTATTTATTCTATGAAATGAAAGGCTCTAGGATGTAAGTAAGACCAAGCCAATTGTGTGGAGTCCCAAGTCGAGTTAGGGCGGAAGCTGTATTTTTATTTATTTATTTATTTATTTATTTTTTATTTTTATTTTTATTTTTTATTTTTTTTTAGTAATTTACTTATTTAATTCTTTATGTTATTTTTATAAATTTATTTATTTATTTATTTATTTTTATTTTTATTTTTATTTATTTTTTATTTATTTTTTATTTATTTATTCCTTTTGGTCTACGAATATGTTTAAATATGATGTATATCTATGTATAAATGTATGTATATAAGTATATATATTGCAATTTACTTTATTGTAATTCTTATTGTTATTATTATTATTATTATTATTATATTACCGGTGTTATTGTTATTATTATTAGTATACTTGCTATTATATTGTTATCAATCAGCAAAGAACGTAATTTAGTCCAGGAAATGCTATCCACTAGGTAAGGTTAATGAGTTATTATCACGGGATAGACAATCTAATAATGCTGCAAATATAAAACGGAATAAAACTCAGGCAAAATAAAGCCACAGCTCCTGAGGAGTTAAACTGGCACTCCCCTCGACCCTCAGCCACAGAGCAACAGTAATTTTGAAGGCAACCACTTATCAGCTAAAGCAGGCGGCAGACAAATCTGAGGTTGAGGCAGCGCGCGTTATTGCTGTGCTGTTTTAATGGTGCGCAGAAAAAAGGTGAACTGTTGTTTCACCCTACCAAGATGGCCGCCCGGTCGTCCTCACGTGAGCCCTACCAAGATGGAGCCTGTAACCTTATCTAAATGGCTGCCCGGGCCTCCCCACGTGGGCCCTACAAAGATGGCGCCTGTTGCCCGAGGTTAATGCCTCACCCAAAATGGCGGACTCGGCCCCCAGCCCCTACCACGTGGTCTGTTAAAATGGCGGAGGGAACTCCGTTGCCCCGGAAACCAATAAACACTGCCCTTAAGGAAGAAGCTGGTACTCTTTAGCAGGCAGACAGGCGACCCCGAAAACCCAACAGAAAATGGAAGAACGAAAACCCCACAGAAATCACAGAACGCCCCACCGGGCTGGCATCGCTGGAAGTACTTCCGAATCACAACCGGCAGGGAAGGAAAAACAAAGGAAACCCCGCAGCCAAACCTCAGTATCCTGTGTGGTCCCCGATCCGTGTCCTGGAGATCAGGCTTCCCCGCTGAAAAAAGCGAGCGCGCGGCAACGATCCCCGGCAAAAAGTTGCGAAGTGTGCAAGCTCTCGTCCCGAACAGCAAGGCGGGGTCGCGCCGCAACGAGAACCAGTCAGCAAAGGAAGCCGAACAAGCGGCGAAGCAAGGTGATTGCAGTGATCCGCAGCGTCAGCTCTCTCCGCTCGATCGATCGAGGCTCCTCGCAGGGGGCGACCAGATTGCCTGCTGAAAAGGGACTCGAGGACGCTTCAGGAAAAACGCAAAGGAAAAAGACCGCTTTGCTCGCAAAAGAAAAACCACTCAGCTGGCGAGGGGAAAAGAGGGCGGTCCCCGGGCGTGCCTGGCCTTAAATAGGCTAGGCCACGCCTCCCCGGCCCACCGATTGGCGGGTCGGGTCGCAGGCACGCCCAGGGATTCCCTGATCTCGCGGGGGTGAAACCTGACCCCCGCGTGTGTGGGAGGGGTTGCCCGCAACCCCCTCTCCTCACAAGATCGGAAATGGCTTTCTAAGAACTGTCCGCTTATTTCCTCCTCCATCCCTATCCATTTCCCTTTCATGTAGTTTTTCTTGCAAGCCTCTTGGAGTGTATTTGCTGCCTCTTCGCATAAGGTGCTCCCTGAGAATTCTACCAGAGGATTCCCAAGGAGGTCTTTAGACCCATCAGCAAGTTAAAATACCAGCTAGAAACGCAACCCGACGGGGAGCTTCACATTTCTTTTTTTCTTTTTTTTAATAATTTTTTATTAAAGTTTTAAACAAACAAAAAAGAAAAACAACACACACAAAAAACAATACAAAACTTAACAATAAAAACACAAAACATAACATTTAAAAACAAACTCTCTTTTCCATTTCCAATTTTAAATTACTTATTTTCTGGACTTCCTCATACCTCCCTCTTTTGTATTCCAATCCACATTATTTGTCCAGCAGTTTCTTTTCCACTTTTTTAATCCCAATCTTTAATTTAATAAAACGTTAAAATATATAACTTCAACTTTTTTAAACCTAATCTTGGATCTTAATGTCATATAGCTTTAAATTTTTCCCTTTTATTATCAAATTTCCATTTCTTTAAACATCTTTAATCTTGATCTTTAATCTTAATCTATCCTTAACTTTAACCTGTACAGCTGGAAACCACTTGTTTTCAGTCCAACATCACTCTAACATTCCTTAATTTTGCAGTGTTTCTGAAGATAGTCTTTGAATTTCTTCCAATCTTCCTCCATCGACTCTTCTCCCTGGTCACGGATTCTACCAGTCATTTCCGCCAATTCCATATAGTCCATAAGTTTCATCTGCCATTCCTCCAGCGTGGGAAGTTCTTGTGTCTTCCAATACTTTGCGATGAGTATTCTTGCTGCTGTTGTTGCATACATAAAGAAAGTTCTATCCTTTTTTAACACCATTTGGCCTACTATGCCCAGGAGAAAGGCCTCTGGTTTCTTGGGGAAGGTATACTTAAATACCTTTTTAATTCATTATATATCATTTCCCAGAACGCCTTAATCTTTGGGCACGTCCACCAAAGGTGAAAAAAAGTACCTTCAATTTCTTTACATTTCCAACATTTGTTATCGGGCAAGTGATAGATTTTCGCAAGCTTGACTGGGGTTATGTACCACCTGTATATCATTTTCATAATATTCTCTCTTAAGACATTACATGCCGTAAACACATTTCAATAAGGCCATTGCAATCTACTGGACAGCCGTCCAATTGTTTAAAACTAAAAATGACACTTTTTATTGGGTCTAAGTAGCATCATAAAAACAATAAAATCAGCCCTGGCATTTCTTCTCCCCCCCCCCCCCCCGCTCTCCTGTCTTAACTTCTGACACCTTGACCTTCTGCATGCAGCAGCATGCTGCATGTTTCAAAAGCAAGGACCATTAAAGCGGGAGAAATTTGCTTCTGGAAATATTATTGAGGACTCCTGTAAAAGCTCAAGTCTGGTAAGAGTATGGGAAGTTGCCTTATTTTGAGCCAGGCCATTTGGACCAGCATTACCTGCACTTACTGGCAGTGGCTCTCTGTTCAGGTAGGGGTCTCTCTCAAGCCTGCCTAGAGATGGCAGGTCTGAACCAGAGGTCTTCTGCATGAAAAGCAGATGCTCTATCACTGAGCTTTGGCACTTCCCCAAAGACTGCTCTGAAACATGATTTATGCTTGAGGATGGTGAGTGACCCCCATCTTTTGTGTATAAAGGGATGGGATAAGAAGTGTCTCCTAATCAAACCTAGTTTGCAACTTAGTCTGGATCCGGCAAACTATAATTTGCAATCATAGACTTTATAGAGTCAGAAGAAGGGAACTTGGGGATCATTTAATCCAACTCTCTAGTTAGAACAGAAATCTGGCAGCTACAGCATCCATGATAAATGGCTGTTCAGCCTCTGTTTAGATACAGTACTTCATTGAGAGGCGGGGGACCATTTCCTCCCAAGGAAGTCACTTCCATTGTCTGAAATGCTGGTTTGATTGCAAAGGCTTTGGTTTACCAAAACCATGGTTTTCAGCATTCAGACAAAATGACAAACAATGGTTTGCCAAAAATAAGAACCAGCGCTTTCTATTTATAATAATTTTTATTAAATTTTACAATTTTATATTCAACACAATCATCATTATCACAAAAGAGTATATAAATCCCAATCTCCCCCTCCCCTCCCATGACTTCCCTTAACTTCCTCTTCTGGTTCTTTAGATATTTACTTCTCCTGCCTATTTTGTTCTACCTTGATTTTGTAATCTTTTAACTAAATATTGTTGCATTCCTATCCTTTTTATACCATAGTGTCAGGGAACTGACATCAGAGCGAGAGGCGAAGGGGAGGCTCCTGGATGATGCTGGAGAAGGACCCAGCAGCAGGGGGAGAGGCGACTCAGTGGAGGGGGAAGCATTTAAGCGCAACACCAGGAACAAAAGTGAGCAGATGGGAAAATCGGAGAGAGGGCTCACGGACTCTTCACTGGAACTCAGTGAGGAGGGGACAGGTCCCCCGCTACCCACGCCCACCCTGCGCAGAAGGCTCCCGCGCAGTGAGAGGCGGAGGCGATTGGGTGTCAAACAACTCTTATGTTGGAAGAGATTCAAGAAACGCCCACTGACGGATTCTGCTAGTGACTGAGACAGTCATGATCAGAAGGGGCTGTGCAGTCAGAAAGGTTTATCAAGGCAAATCAGCCTAGAGAGGCACCAGTTTACGCACGAGTAACTCATACTCATTACAGCAATCCGTCAGTCCCTGAAAGTTGCTCGTGCGCAGCAGCAGGCAGGCAGCATCATGAGCAAGCCCGGAGAAGCAGGCACCCAAGGGGGAGCAGCTGGGGGCAAACGCTGGAGGAGAGGAACCGAGATTTGGAGCAGCATGTGGCCATTCTGACGGCACGGCTGGACGAAAGGCGGTCTCAAGATGCACAGGTCAGACCCACCCCCATAGCAAGGAAGGTACCGGGACTGGTGCACAAGTTTGGGGGGAAGCCGCAAGAATACAGTGCGTTTAGAACGGAAATAGAGTACGCATTGGACTTGCAGCATAACGATTTTGAAGACGACGCGGCGCGGGTGGCATATGTTGTGGGTCACCTGCAGGACAGGGCCAGAGAATGGGTCAGACCCCTTATGGC